TGGATGCAGTCCTGTGCCACGTGCTCTAGGTGACCCTGCGTGTGCAGGGGGGTTGGACTAGATGACCTCTAGAGGTCCCTTCCAACCTTAAGCATTCTATGATTCTATGATCTCCAGACAACTTGGAAGAACTAGCTTTTGCTCTCAGCTTTGTTGCTAATCATCTATTTCATTTAGGACAAATTAAATTCACCTCTTCAACATTTTTCGTCTCAAGTTTTTCTGTGTTAACTGACATCCACACTCTCTTGTCTGTGACTAGAGCTGGAGGCTGCCTTGTCTCAGAAGATTGTCCTTGTAAATGCAGTAATCACTGAATCCATTCTCATGTCAATCAAGTTATTCTGCTGAAGCTAGTGAAAACAACAGCTTGATTTACTGATAAATCAATTGCTTGATTTACTTGTGACACTGGGGGCATAATCTAAGTCTCTGAACTATTGAGCTACCTGCATTTTTCATGTAGCTATCAGCACTTCAACACACCTAATAAGTCCACCACAAGAGAGCCAGCAGGTCTGTATGAAGGACCCCAAAGATTAAAAGGAAGGCTTAAGCACCTTCACTTCATTTGCATTCAATGACTTTCAATTCAGTCTTTGGAGACCACCTTCCAACAAATAACTGCTCTCTGCAGTGTACTCCCTTATAAATACCCGTGCATTTGCTGCAGATTCAAGAAGAAAATGTTTCCTGTAAAGATTTTCTGAACAATTTTATTGCGATAACTTTCTTCATTTTATATTTTTATATATATTCATTCATATATATCTATAATTCAAAAGGCTAAACATTTTTCTAAGGCACTTGGAATTGTGCACAGCTGAGTATCCTACAGTACTGTACAGCTAGGCAGCACACATTTTTTACCTGTCAAATAAAACACAAAACATGACTATAATATATGCAATGCATAAAAAGATAATGCATTTTTTCCACATGACAATACTGATTATACTTGTATGTGTGTATATGAGTATAGACTACAGTACAGGGGAAAAAAACAGCAGCTATCTCATTAATTTGTAACAATTACTGTTACTTACAGTCACAACATGCCTGTGTAAAATGCACCATCAGATCAGTCACTTCTTAAAAGTTACCATATTCCATCACTCTAAGTTGAGCTACTAAATCACAAGTAGATACATTCATTTTATAGTTAGTACGTAAAATGCACACAGCATAAACTGAAAAAAAAAAAATAAGGGGGCTATTGATTATCGAAAACCTCATACCTTTTGAAAGTCATATATGCGGAAAGTGAGCTTTATAAGTGCCAGCAATTCTAAGCTGGCAACATTTCATAACCATTTTTTTATGGTTATCAGCAGCTATACAGCATGGCAGGCAGTGGGCAATCAAATCATAAGCTTTAAGTGTTTTACTTAATTGGCAAATATGAATGTTTATTGAAATTCAAGTATGATACTTTCAGCACAACTTGTTTCTATTTTTAATCTAATAAAAATGATAAAGTCCAAGAACAAGTCCATTGCCTATTGATAGTCAACACTCTTCATTACTACTACAAAATTTTAGTTCCACTGTGTCCAAGTAAAAAGAAGCAGGAAGACCAAAACTTAATTTCAGATGACCCCAATCCTTCTCATCACCTCTTGACTTTACTGGACCCTAGTAAGATGCTACTAGAGTTTAATCACCAGCACCTGTGGTGGTTGGATGATGGAGCCCTCCCTGCTGGAGTCAACTCAGTGTGTCCTTGCACCCTTGAGTGGGAAGAGTCATGTGCACAAGGATCCTTAGTCCTGGGCACTTGTGGTACACTTCAACTCTGCCACAGAAAATACATGTTCTTTAAAGGCCAGTGTCTAAGGTACAGTTGGATCTATAAGATGCAGTATATTAGTACTGCCATGATTTACCATTAGAGCAATTGTTCTGCATAAACCTGGAAAAGGGACACAGGCCCTTTGGTTCCCAAATGTAAAGAAATGTGGTCTACAGTGTTCATATACCTCTCCTAGATTTACAATTCTGTTGTAGATGGAATTCAATTTCTCTTCTACAAAAAAAAAAAGTCTTAAGAGCTGCTTAAGTAGTGACAAGTAATTAGAACGTGCCATCTCCACACTTTTCTTGCCCTTGCTCATATATTTAGATGCCCATTCAAACACTCCATCACAAAATCCTTTTG